TCTCTCTCTCTCTCTCTCTCTCTCTCTCTCTCTCTCTCTCTCTCTCTCTCTCTCTCTCTCTCTCTCTGTGTGTGTGTGTGTGTGTGTGTGACTTTTGTCGCAGGTAAGAGCTGCTTCTAAAGTCAAGGCGCGCTTGATCATTTGCTTCACATCGACGGGAAAAGTGCCAAGGTCATTCAGAAAACCACTGCACCAAAACTCTTACTGCCACTCAGTCTCACCGTTTTTTTTTTGTTGTTGAATTGTTTTTGTTTTCAGTGTTCCCTTTTTCAATTTCCCCTGTGATATCATTTGTCTCGCCAATGAGAAAGAAAATGTTTGACAAGTATTAATGTTGAACAACACCATTTGCACAGCTTTACAGAAAAAAGAATGGACATCGGCGGCTTCGAAATCTGTGCGGACTTCCGTCCCCCTGATTGCAGTCCAGCCAGCAGGCAACATTGCAATTGTGCAATGCTGCCAATGCACCAGTTAAAAAATAAAATAAAAAAAAGCACGATGGACTGTTTGAAGCATCTCAGAGGCGAATCGTGCCTTTTCAGCTATACAGCATGGACAGATGCACGGAACCGAGAAGTTTCTGACTTCTAAGCACCCCGAGTGCATGGAGTCTGGAGTTTGCCATTGGTGATCACTGATCTGAATGTTGCAGATTCATGCTGATGAGCCCAGAATATGTTCACTTCCGTCATCTATGCAGTACTGTCCTCTTTGAACGATTTCCCATCATGTAGACGGAGGATGCTTGGAGAAGAGGGTAGGGGTGGCGGGAAGGGAGGGGCAGAAGGGGAGGTTTGACGATTCGGGCCACGTAACATAAACGAGATGGTCTGCGAAATGCGCGAATGCACAGCCACACAAGACAACACGTACCAGTAGACACACACACACACACACACACACACACCAGTAGACACACACACACACACACACACACACACACACACACACACACACTTACACACACACACACACACAAACACACACACACACATACCAGTAGACACACACACACACACACACACACACACACGCGTGTGCGCGCGCGTGCACACGCACACGCACACGAACACACACACACACACACAGCACGAGTGCACACACAGACATACACTACTGACCAACTGCCTCCTCTCTCTGGGATGACGAAGTGGGCTGATTTCAGCATGACTATACTCTAAGGAGGAACTGGGTGATAGAAAAATCATGAAGTCAATCTGCTTTATTACATTACAATGATTAGATGGACGCCCACCGGAGTTGTGCAGTTCACAAGAAAGGCGATTGATTGCAGGGAAAGAAAGAAACGAAGGAAATACTGTTGGAGGATGCATTAGTCGGTGCGACCCTGGAACGTGCACATTCCTTTTGCTCTTCATTGGAACCAAGTCCCCTTTTCTCTTTTTCTTTTTTTCCCTTTTTCCTTTCAGCAATCTGGTCTTCTGACTTCGGTGCGTGTGCTTTTCCATCTCTATTCACACAGGTTGACGGCATCGTTCCGTCCAAACATCCCCATCCTCTCGGTGGTTCTTCCAACCCTCAGCGTTGGCAACAATCTCAGGTGGACTGCCTCTGGAGCCATGCAGGTATGCTTTTACGCTTCACTCCCATAAGCTCACACCAACCGACCAGACAGTCAAGGGGGGTTTAACACCCCACCAACCCCCCCCCCCCTCCCCCTCCTCCTCCTCTTTAAAAAGGGCAATGGCCTTGAGATATCATCTTAAAGTTTGAAGTTTGAGCTGACCGGCCCGCTGTAAATTCAGAAATATTTTCACTCATCTGATCCCATTCAAATTCGAACTTGGGGTTTGTACACCTGAGTCCTGACCATGTTTATGATATCTGACTTCATTTGTTTGATCGCAAGCAAAAAAAAAAAAAAAAAAAAAAAAAAAGAGAGAGAGAGAGAGGCTCTCATTAATTAACTAACCCTGACCCGCATGTTAGCTTGGCCTCAATAGCAACAAACAATAATTTGAATTTTGAACAATATTAAAAATAACCAATTTGGCGATTTGAAATTTGATGTCTTCGTTAACTCGATTTTTTTTATTTTTTTTTTCCTTCCTTCTTTTTTATTATCGTTCGTAATCCTCAAGTCGATTTTATAAATTTTATAATTTTATAATTTTATTCCATCTGAATCCCCCCAAAAAAGTGGTTGCGAGATGTATGTATGTTGAACTTTGGTGGTGTTGAATTTCAATCTTTGTAATCGATCCCCATAATTACGTGTGTTGCCTGCCTGCTGCTGTGAACCGAGGCCGATTATGTGATGACACTGTCGTCAATTGCGCATGCAGGCCCGCCAGACGCTCCTATCCAGTGGTCTTATTCCTATTCTGGCTGATCCACGTGGCGGACCCACCAACAAGCATTTGCATGATGCATTCCAAGTGGGGAAAAAATTGGGACTTGTTCGACCAGGTGAGAACGTCGTTATCACTCAACGGATGGGAAATTCGCGTGCCGTTGCCATTGTTCAAGTTTCGTAGGAGGGTACAAATTTACAAAATGCAACTGCACACAAATTTCCCAGACGGAATCGGCGGCACAAGAGCGTCAGACATTGCGACTTGGTGAGAGTGTGGACGGCGGGCTTAACGAAATAACAGGACGTGGGGCGGAGGAAATTGAGGAAAGGGAGGCCTTTCAAGATGCATTGTTTAAGCATGGTCTTCAATTGCGTTGACGATGGTCTGGTGGGCAAAAGGGAGACGAGCTAGTACGGAAAAAGTTGTGAGGGAATAAAAATGAGGGAGGCAGGGAGCAGGAGGGGTCGAGTAGAGGGGGAGGGGGGAGGGGGGAGGGGGGAGGCAAGAGCAAAGATAGTCAGGAAAGGAACGGCCATAGGAATCTGGCACAGAAGAATGTATCTGACAAGGAGAGTATAGAAGGAGCTAGGAACGGAGGGGAGGAGGGAGGGGGGGAGGAGGGAGGGAAGGAGAAAGGTATGGGGGAGGGGAGAGAGGGGGAGGTGGGAGGGAGGGACATTAGGAACATTGTCATATCGACAGACAAGGAGGGAGGGAGCGAAGGGGGGGGGAGGGAGAGGGAGAAAGAGAGAGGAAGAGGGAGGGAGGGAGGGAGGGAGGGAAGATGAAAGGGAGGTCATGAGCTTTTTAATCAGCAGAATAGAAGCTTCAGGAGCAAGCAGATAGGTTGCTGGTGTCCTGATCCCAGCACTGTTAAGGAGGGAGG